GTAGCTGGGATCATAGGTGCACACCACAACGTATGACTAATTTTTTTTCTATTTTTAGTAGAGATGGGGTCTAGCCCTTGCTCAGGCTCATCTCAAACTCCTGAGCTCAAGCAATGCTCCTGCCTCAGTCTCCCAGAGTGCTAGGATCGCAGGCTTGAGCCAACGCGCCTAGCCCTCCCAACTAATTTTTAAATTTTTTTTGTAGAGACAGGGTTTTTGCTACATTGCCCAGTCTGGTCTCAGACTGCTGTCCTCAAGTGATGCTCTGGCCTCAGGCTCTCTAAGTGCTGAGATTGCAGGTGCGAGCCGCTGCACCCCACCTAAACAGAGTACGTATAAAGGCTATGAGAGAGCTAACAGATTGTAGAAAAAATAGCAACACACTTGAAAAACATTTCAAAGTAGACTACAACCAAGTGGTCAATAAAGAAACTAACAGTTTTTTGACTCATTATATTAGTTTTTCGGACTGGAATATAGCAGAGTTAAATAAAGAGGAACTGTGACTTTGAGGTGCTTGTGGAACAGTAGGTGGAGATCCTGCTGTGAAGAGGACATACTGGCCAGCAGAGAAGTCTGAGCCAGAGCTGTGGATTTGAGAGCGAGCCCCATGTGTGTGTAGGAAGGTTAGCTTCTGGATTTGCCACTCAGAGAAACTCTGGAAAAATGTGAAGAAGGCTGGGGAAAAGCCCTCTCATGCACTAACCCGGAAGGATTAGGTTCACTGGCAGTAGGATTAAATGAAGACAACTTTTCAAGAACATTTTAAACATATTTTCCCTACCTAATTTTTAGGATTTAGAGTTACAGTTTAATCAGAATATTACAAGAAATAAAAATACAATGATAACAGACACTATTGTATATTCTTTCTTATCTTTTAAGAGCTAGTTCTATCATGTCATCTGACTCCAAGTAGAACTGAATTCTCCTTGGTGGAAATTGCCTAGCATTTTGTATCTACTGCTCTTAACTATTTCTGTCTCTTGTAACTATACTGTACTACAACTGTACTATAGTCATTGACATATGTGCCTTAAGTTCCCTTCTAGATCATAATTTCTCCAGTGCAAGTGTTATAGCCACTATATACCTCAAATGGAAACTTACATGTCAGTGGCCTTCTCTCAGTAGTTATTAAATGAATAATTTAGAAGGTTTTGACTATGCAAGTCTGAAGATTTCTTTACAGGTACGAATAGATGGTCAATATTTCTAAGATCATGATGACCCTGCTCTAGAATTTACTCTTCAACAGGGAAGTCTTGCCATTGCAGCTAGATAACCTACCATCCTCCCACTGAGTTCCTTAAATACTTTGGAAGTCCCTGAAGTTAATTTCTACTCCTGGTGATCTACTTACTATGAATACATAAGAGAATATGGCCCCTGTTTTCAACGTAGTCAACTTGAGATGAATCTTAATTATTTTATGTATGTTTCCATGGCTTGGCCTTCAATACCCATAGAATATTCTATGCATATTTTAAATGATGACAGATCTCAGCTAATCTGTTACAAATGCAAGTTTTACCATTTTGAGTACAATGCTATTCCTCCCTGGAAAATCCACCTCCATTCCAAAGCTGCAACTAATACTGTGTTTGTGTTCAGGGATATGTCTGTTAATTTGCAAACTTCTTGTTTATTTTCTTTAAGTTCTACTCTTTTTTTTTTTTTT